GTGACCGTAAATTCAATATGTACTGAGAGAGTAGCATGATTATTTGGCTGTTTAGGCTATATTTGCCCCTAAGTGCAGAGCACAGTTGATATCAGAGCCAGGTGTGTTGATTCATTGATTGCATTTAGGCAAGAGGATGGGTCAACTTTTTGGAAACACGTTATTAGCAGCAGCTTCCTTATAAAGGTGCATGCTTAATTGCTCGGTTTAGGGGTGGTGCCAGGCTTTTATAGCTAGCAAGAAAGTTTGGGGGCTTGCCCTTGCCTAGACTCCCTCTGGAAGCCATGCCTGGCTCAACAGCACTGAGGATAGCCCAGGTCTCCGAAGTCCCTGTCTCTTCTCATTTTCTGAGCTTTCTGCCACTGACAGGGGAACCTGGGTACAGCGTTTCTGCACTGGTTTTGTCCTACCCTTGACTTGTCTGTCTGAACGGCTGGCCAGGCAGGAGCAGTCGGTTCCTGGGCTGGAGAGCATGTGTAAGTGTGAGGTCTGTCGATTTTGGACCTGTAGGCTGGTGTATGGTGGAAACAGATATGAAACCATCTTGGGGTTTCTCTTCCATTTTTTAGAGAGCATTGTTGCATTTCACTTCTCTTAATTGAGATGTTTCAGCATCTCTTGCAGTGTATTTGGAGGAATCAGATGTGCTCACAGCCACTTTCATATGCAGTGCCAAGACAGCGTTGAGGCAGTTGTGATTTCCACCTGTTTTTTTGTTTCTTTCTTTAACCATGATCTGTTTCTATCAGATGGGAGTTTTTGATCTGCATGAAACTCGGCAAACTGTGAGAAGCAGGCTGGCCCAGATGTTACTAGAGCGATGCAAATCAGGGGAAGTTTCAGCTCATAAAGTCTTGATTTGCTTTGGGATTTTTTCTTATGGAAATGAACTCAATCTAAAACAAAATGCTTTTTTGGGGAATGTTTTATGAGAGTGTTTTTCTCTAAAATTTTGGCTTTTCTTTTTTTTGGCCTTTTAAAATATCCTTAATTAGCCTTTTGAGTCCAACTGTACCTTTATCTGCAACTGTTCAGATGAAATTTTCCAGTGGAAATAATAAAGATGGCTAGTTTAAAACTATTATTTTTATGCTCTTTTTGTAAGTGAATTGATCATCCATATGTTTATTTACTTCAGTTTAAATTACCAAAGAGAAACTAGGAAATGACTAATACTGAAATTTGTTTATATTCCCAGCCTCAAAAGACTTCCATATTTCCAGTGGGCAATTTGTTATGCTAATAGATTGATGTTTAAATATTTGATGTGGAAGAGAAAAAAGAAGATGTTATTGGTTGCAGCATAAAGCAATTTAAGTTATTCATAGTCTTTATGTAGAAGTAAAACCTTTTCCTAGAAAGCAGAGGTTCCTGGGACAGAAGTTCCTCTCCCGATCACAGAAACGCCATTTCCCATCAAAGTCGCATCAGAGTAATATTCCACAGAGGTTTCTCCTATGGTGACAATTATTCTAAATTTAGTCTAGTGACAGACTAATTATTTTATGATTTTTAAGTCTGTACATTATTATTTAAGTGGGTTTTTCAGTCTGAGCTGTATGCTGGCTGGCACGGTACTGCTATAAACTGCCTCGTGCCTCAAAGAGGCCACGTGGTTGTATTTATTTGCACATCCGTTTCCGAACAAGACCTACAGATTTGCACTTGAGTGCGTCGTGGTGGGGGGAGGGCAGTGCAGCTGCAAACACTGCTCCCATCCCTGGAGAGGGCCCATCAGTGGTGCTGGTATCTGTGTTCCCAGCATCTTTCGGCCAAGTGCTCAAGCTGCCTGGGCAGCAAACAGCTCTTGGCCCACAGGCAGCGACGGGTCATGTCCTGCTGACGGATCTGCCCGCTACGGCCGAGAGAGGAGAGTGGGGCTGATCTTTCTCAAGGTCAGGCTGTGAGGGATGGGGGCGAAAGCGTGGGGCAGGTGTCCAGGATGGGCACGTTGTGGGGGCATTGGGAGCGTGACCCACATGCTGCCTCCACCAGGGCCACTCCACTCTGGGAAGCTACATGAGCAGACTGGCTACCAGTCAGGCAAAATGGCCGTGAGGCATCTTCTAGGACAGCTGCCAATGGGGTTTTATGCTAATTATTCTTTTAATTACAAATATCTGTTTCAGTTGCAAGGCATTTTAATTTGGAGAATATTCTCATTCACTTCTCTGCAAAGTGCAGCAGCTCCATCCAGTCTCTTGTTCAGCAAATGCTATTTTATAAGTGTGTGGTGGTGGTTTGTTTTGGTGTTTTTATGACTATCAAGGCAACTGCTGACTTAGTCCTCTTCTATCTCCTGAAGACGTAGCTGTGTCTCTGTAGTAGCACCCTCTAATTCTGTGCTGATGTCCACAATTAGAACTTGGGGAATACTTTCATTACTGTGTCCTTTTGATAAGTTTGCTTTTATCACAGTTTGCATCAAAGATTTCAGGCTATTAGACAGCCATGGCCAGGGCTTAGGTTTCCAAAGGCAGCAGCATAGTGGAAGCTTCTGGCACAGAGGGGCAGGTTTCGTGTTTTTACAGAAAAGCAGTCAAAGAGCTAGTTCTCCTCTCGGTTTCAGAGCTGCAGCTTTGAGGTTTACTCGACATGCATCAGTGAACTGAAGAGGGAACTTGGTCCCAAGCAGCTGCCTGAAAATTGGAGCTCGTGAGCATACATACACAGAGTTATGAGCTGGCTAATGTCTAAATCCACTGCCACTGAAGGTCAAATCTGCAGCCCAGGACCCAGAGGCACAGACGTTTGGTCCTTGGCTTTGAACAGCTCCTTAAAACAGTGTCCTCAATAGACCAATCCAGTTTCCACAGTTGTACTGAACTTCTGGCACCCAAACGTGTATTGGACAGCAAATAGACTTAGAAGCGAAACATTTTCAGAAGTATAGGACCTTATCTTACACTACTCTGGAGCCCATTTACTCTAGCAATTACTCTGACTCATGCTGGTCAAGGAATTGGAGAGAATTCAGAGGGGAATGATTAAAAGGTTGGAAAACATCTCTTACGGAGAGGTTCAAAGAGTGCAATCCACTTAGAGCATCAAAGGGAAGCTTATGTGACGGTTTGATCGTAACCCGTTAATACCTGCACGGTGAACAAAACTTTGAATAGGCTCTAATCTATAGGCAAAGATATAATTACCACGGCTTGGAAGCCGTAGCTATACAAATTCAGACCAGAAATAATTTTTTTTTTTTTAAAGCTATTTTTCTTCAGGCAATGATCTGGCGCAGTCACAGCTCTTGGGCCTGAAGTAGGAAGTCACGAGATCTTCATACTGCAGAAAGTTGAATTAGATGACCATAGTGCTTACCTATGGCCTCAAAAATAATCTGGTGACCTCTGGATAATGTTCTCGTTAAAAAACAGGCAAACAGCAATGTTTTTAGCTCCTATGCTCCAATTTCTTTAAATAGAAACTATATTGTATCACAGGCACTCTAAGGACTAGTCTTAATCTAATGCAAGTGCATGGACTGTAGTTAACCTCAGTGAAATGAGAAAAACACTTAAGTCAGATTATGTTTTAAACTATATATCGCTCATCTCCCATGAAAAGGCCTGATGCAAACTTCACTGAAGTATGATTCCCATAGAGCTCAGTGAGGGCGAAAGCTTTCAAAACCAAATTCTGATTTTAGTTACCTCAGAGCAAATCTGAATAGTGTTACCTGTAGGGTTTTCGCTGCTTTTCAGCATCGTCATATTTGAGCAACTCAGGTCCTCAAACTACTTTTGCCTCTTGATATTGCCGTGAAATAGCGGCAGTCATCTCCTGTGTGAGTTTGAGCAAAGCAGTGAGTTTATGCTACAGTTGCAAATTGAACTCGGCTCTTATAAATACTAGGCAATTATTTTAAATGTGGACCCGTTCTCCTTCTCAATGGCTTTATTTTGTGGTATACCACACCAGTCTGGTCATGGTTATTTCTATTTAGCGTTGTATTTTCTTGCTAAATGACTTGTCTTTCTGAGTATTCCATTGTCCTCTATTTTGTTGGAGGATTCAGCTTGGAGAGGGGGATGATTAAAAACTCAGGATGCCATCTTCTGCTTTTAATCTGAGCCAAGCAGTGGGGATGAAATTAAATGTTGTGAATAATTCTGTATGTTTTCTCACTAGAATACTGAGCCAGAGCCTTAACCTTCCCAGCAGTTGTCGGGGTTACGGCTGAGTTATTTGATTAAAATATTATTTTTACCAGCTACTTGAAAGAACTGCAGCAATCTGATTTATTTTCATTGTTAGTGCTTGTTTGTTTAGGCTTTCAGACGAAATGAACTTACCATTCATTTAGCACAAATGCCAAGAGAACTATTGTATTCAAAAATAATGGTAGCACAATATGCAGTGAAACATGCGTATTTTGCTCAAGCAGTTGCTTGTGCACACAATAGAAACCATTCGGAGGCTTAGGCTGTTAATCAGCTTTCTCTATGAATGGATACTTGCAGCTTTTATATAAGCCCACAGTTCTCTCGCATTACTGACAGTCAGTGTCATCCAAGGCCAGAAACTGATCCTTTCGCTCTAGGGGTTACATGCTAAGTGTTGTCACAAATAAATTAAAATACACTTGTCACAATAACTCTTTTCTGCAAAATCTGGATTTCTCTGCATTTTCTGTTGTCCTGAAAAATATATGGAAACTAAAGAGACTGAACATATCTTAAAAATAAATCCTTAAAATTCGTAGTTTTAAAGCAGTAGTTCATGTTGTGTGTCCCGTTTATGACATACAGCCCTGATCAGGGGTACTGAGCAGCCAAAAGTCTCTTAAAGATCTGTGGGAGATGAGAGTGCCTGGCGCCTTGGAAAACAGGCCCTTGGACTCTGGAGCGAAGGCGTGCTCGAGAGCCGCTTGTGGCTGCCTGGTGTCTTTTGGTCCCCAAGTCTGCCAGCGCAGTGTGAGCCCGTTACTTCCTTCCAAGCTATAAAATCTCTTTGCAAGCTGGAGAGCAGCTTGTGGCTGCCTGGTGTCTTTTGGTCCCCAAGTCTGCCAGCGCAGTGTGAGCCCGTTACTTCCTTCCAAGCTATAAAATCTCTTTGCAAGGCTTATCCTCTTTAATAATGAGTTGATTTTTTTAATTTCTTAAGGAAGATATTGGCAGTTGACGTGTTGTTGAATATACAGCAGGTGAAAGTAAAATTTCCAGTCGCATACCAAATCTAACATTATTGAATTTTAACACTACCCTAGCAAAACCTGATTTTTATTTTATTTTTTTCATGTTAAAAGTAAAACCTCACTTCCATCAGACTACTAGGCACTGAGATTACAACCCTTGAACATATTGCAGGGGAAAACTGGCAATAAACAAAGGGAAACACCGAGAATCGCCAATGTATCCTTACCATTGCATTAACATTAAGGGGCATGTCTATTTTCATCCCTTCAAATGGGTGATGCACCAAGGTTTTATTTAAAATAAGTTTAACTTGCTCAGTCCTAATGACTTAACATTAAAGGCTAGAGGCATAGTATGACTTATTTTCTCTTACTTTCTAAAGCAGAGATGCTACACAAATCTCCCCTGCTAATGCAACCAGATTCCCAAATCTCCTCCTGAAAGCTGTGTGCAGTTGGCTTTAATACCTCCTCAACACACAATAGGGTGCACCTGATTTTCATGTTCTGGGCAGACGTCTACTTCAGCTGTAAACTCTTCTGACGTTTCTGACTGAGATAATTATAATGCTCTGGGGGACTTCTGACCTTGCCCAAAATAGATGGGAACAGGGAGACATGCATTTACAGGCAAAACTAAGAAGATACTTGGAATAGTATCTATATTCTGTGACAGCTTCTGAAAGAGCATCAAGAAGTGCTGGCTTCATCTTTAGGCCTTCATTCTTTTTTTTGCTTCCCATGATTAAATTTGTTTTCTCTGAAATTTTCCAACATCAAGACGCCTTAATGGAGGTGCATGCATGCACATATTGTTTGTGTGACAACTGCAGTGGATCAGCAACTTATTTTGCATCAGGTGATCTAGTGTGACGCCTTAGGAAGGTCCCAATAAACATGTACTGAGTTTTATACACCAATTGCACTGTGCAAATCTAAGGGTGGATATAAGTTTCTATGGTATTTGAGATCAAGCAATTATATTATCTTTGCTCAAATCAGAAATTTTGCCATGATTCAGGAAGCAATTTTTTTCTGTTGTTTGTTCTTTTTTCAGTTAAAAGCATATCTCCTATTGTTAATTTTATAAGCTAAATAGATTAAACTTCCTCCACTAATGCTATTGCAAAAATGATGCATTTATATAATGGAAAAAAGAGCAGCAAAGAAACAAAATACTTTTAAGGGAAAAAATGCAAGTTGGACTGTGGCTAAGACCTGGGGGGCACTTTTATCATCTGGGCTCACTGGCTACATCCACTAATAACCTGATGCATGGCGTTGCCTGCTTTTCCTTTTAGAATTGCCATCAAAATGGCTGCTCCCATGTGCTACACAGTTGTCCAGTCTCTATCAAGAGAAGCTTGGAGACATTTGCAGCCTCTTTTAAATAGTACTTTGAAGGCTCAGTGTTGATCAAATGACATTTAAGTAGCATTCTTAGTGTCACCTGTAGGTAGCAGTTAAAAAAAAAAATAAATCACAGCAACCTTCTTCTGAAATATAACACTTCACTGCTGTTGAGACGGTACACTCACCTGCACGCACCAAGTACGCAGGACATTGCTTTTGCCCACACTGCTCTCAAAGGCTTAGAGAGCTTTCTCACCTCCATGGTATTTGCTTCTTGTGACTGCAGATGTTTGTCTAAAACGATTCTGGCCTCGGGTCCTGAATTGCCTTGTCAGAAAGTAGGGGCCTGAATTTGGGGTGGAATTTATCCTACCGAGATGCAGGTATCGGAAAGTTTCTCTCTCTCCTTTTAATGGCAAGAAATAGATACCTCCCATGGGTCAATCGGCTGTGTTGAGGGATTAGCCTTTTGATGAGGCCTAGAGCTCTCCACTGGCCACAGAGGAAGTCTGGACAAATAGGTTTCCAAATTTATGAGTAGGTGAGCTAAATCTTGCCAGCCTTAGAGTAATTTAGAGGAAATCAGCTTTTGACTGTTTGTCTTCATGCAGAAATCCCCCTGCTGGCAATTCATTTCTCTTCCATAGGTCTGGGATTGCTTCCACTTACATCTATAGGCAGGATAACCATTTGCTGTATCTCTTGTTCTCTCCAGCTGAGCTGCTGTGCACGTTCATCAGTAGTGCCATTTGGGATCTAATACTTGCTTGCTGGACTGGATCAGGCATGTCACCCTCTTGCATCCTCTGCTTGAGAAGTTTGTATTCAGGAATTTGCTCTCTCCTGAGATAGTTCAGTGTTGCATGAAAATTTTGTATTTTACCTTGTGTTGCACATCCATTCCGCAGAGGCGAGCTGAACCTCAGCACCTCTCAATTACATGGCTTTTAATGTACTCTTCTTGCTGGGTCAATTAACTGCCTGGGGCTGGGATTGGAGAAATGTAAATATGAGGCATATGAGCCATCTGCTAGATATATTGGCTGCTGCTCAGGGGCTATAGACCTGAGGGACAATTTTTTTCCCTTTGAAAAAGGAGTTCAGCTTTACAGGTGTTAGTAGCGTGAAGCAGGAGCATAGTGACAGTGCTGACCGGTTCTCTTAGACTGGTCCTTCCACTTAAAACTTGATGAAGTCAGGGTCTTACAGTGTAAACAGCTGTATGACAAAGCTTTATCTCAAAGGGATGAGAGCAGTCAGTCTCAGCAGGTTCAGTCCAGTCCTTATGAACAGGCATTTGCGTTCAGCCCCCATAATCACAGCACTATAGTTACCTTGGCTGCAATATGATCTCTGTCCAGGGCCAGAAGAGGATTTGTTCTAGTTCAGCAAATCACTTGAATGATATGCTCCCTTCCACTCAATAGCTCAGACCTACAGTCTGCTATGTTGTCTATTGAGGTGACAATTACAATGATGTTGCATTGCACTGGCAAAACTCAAGTGAGTGCTGTAGCAATATTATCAGTTTGGAGCTCGCAAGAGTTCTTGCAGTGGCCTGTGGCAGCATGTGCAGACATCAGTCATCAGGAGATGCTAGCATCCCAGAACAGAGAGTCTGAAAGGCATCAGTTTCTTTAAGTCCTTGACTGCTATTTGGTTGGCAGTCTCACCAGCCAGAGACAGGTACTATAGTTCTAAGAACTGCTGTTTTCCCTTATCCTCAAAAAAAAAATGCAAATTACTTGAAAGACATCAGTAATAATCCCCCAAAGTTTCCCTCTTAGGCAGTGAAAAGGGTTGAGGATAGACTTCTTTCATATCTGTTTTGGCCAACTTTCCCATTTTTACGTGTGGTTTTTCCTTTATATCTTGGGCACGTCTGCAGCTCACAGTTCTCAGCAGTGCGGACTGGCCTGTGCTCTGGGCTACTGCTGCAAAGTGCTTCCCATATCTGAGCTCAGTTACGTGAGACTCCTGCTGCAGAGCTGCCCGTTGGCAAAATCTGAGCTTGGCAAGGAGGAGGATAAAAGGGAAGTCGTTCCAGTATGAAACAATGTTACCTTAACAATGATGGCTGCCAGACTTCCCCCAGTGCAAGCTTAAGTGCATCTTGATGCTTTATTCAAACAAATGACTTGCAGGGACACATATTTTAAAAGTGGAGGGGATAGAAAAATGATCTCATTAAGTGGTAGAAAAGTAACTAAAAAGGATGGAAGATGCAGTAGGTAAATAGATGCATGATACTCTAGGGACAACTTGGAGCATTTCCCAGGGCTACAACAATAAGAGACATAATCAGTATGAAACAGTAAACACAAATAACAAAATGAGCTGCAGGCTTTGTGAAGGACTTTAAACCTGTTCAGGACAGAATCATTACTAGGGTCATACTGAGGTCAAAAGAAAGTGAAATGGTATTAAAAGATGATGACTATTCAGAACACGTACTACTAATATTCACCTAGTTCAAAAAACTTATTAAATTTCCCCATTGCCTCTTACTTGGTTGCATTCTTTTTGATGTGAACCTACAGCAACTTGGCCTGATTTGCAGTGTGGTCCTTAACCATCTATATTGTCACTAGTATTCGGCTAAGATAAAACTTGTTTTAACCCACATTACAAAGTGTGAGCCAGCCTTTAATGCCTTTATTCATGTCAGCACCTTATAATCCAACAATCGCAGATGTTGTGTGAGGAGCAAGGGGTAAAGCCATGATAGTATCACATGATGGTATCACAATTTAACTCTGAATGCAGCAGTAGACTCCTAAATAGGGACTGAAGTGCTAATATTTTGTACCAATATCTGAGAATATTACTACTTCATTAGCATGTGTTACCTTTGCTTTCTTACCTTGATCTTCAAATCACTTCTGTCATTGTTGGATTATAAAAGGTACATAAATAAGGGTTGGAGAGCCAAGAGTTACTGCCAGTAGTATTTATTGTTTGCACTGTGGCAAAGTTTACAGGACTTGCTCTTCAACCAGAACATCTTTGTAGTAAAAGCTATACAAATAGCCATGTATCCTCTTCAGTTCTCAGCAGCACTGGGCATTAATGCTAACAGATAGGGGAAAGCAGCACCTTGGAAAAGCAAGATAATTATTTAGGTGACTCAGGCATGCACTGCAGTGGGTGATGCAAGGTGGGAATAGTTGTACAGATCAGGCAAGTTTTTTTTTTGTATGTGATTCCAGGTGATATCTAATTTGAACATATTGTTAGAAGAACAACAACATATAGCAAAAAGGCTAGCAGGCTGTAACAGATGGCAAAGGCCACGCTCCAAGCATATAAGCTTTTGATATGTTACTCAAGTTAAAGATTCCGTAACTCATTTCACTTCATTAAAGCTACTAAAATAACAGCATAACTCTTCAACAGTGGGGATTAATTTTTGAAGCAGTACAGGGGCATTTAGTTTCAATGCCTGATGTAACTTGATTGAATCAGACAAATGAAATAAGTGACCTCTAGCTAGCAAGGTTATAGCTATAACTGGACTTGCATCTTAAGATTTGTGCTGAAGTACACAAGAATGGAAATTGCAACGTAAGAGGCATACTGAAATATCATAAAAGGTGTGATACAACTTGCTTCTGCAGTAGTAGCAAGGGGTAAAGGGTGCTGTAGGGGTGTGTTAAATGCTGTTTCAGGTCAGCTGGTCACAACTGATTTCTTAGTAGCCAGATGTTCTCTTCTGTTCTAATTGAAATGCATTGCTTAATTAAAAAAAATATTTTAAATTAGCTTAATGGTAATGCTGTAGGGGAAATGAATTTCTAGAATCATTTTTCAAGCATTGAACAAAACAAATACTGCCCTACGTTTTTAGAAATGACTACAGATCTCAAGTGCCCTCAATATTTAATACCTAAAATTAGATGTCACAGGAATGACATCTAGTGTATGGAGTATTCACTTGATGAGAATATGGTTCATTTAAAGAGGATTAAATTGGATATAAAAATTATTCACTCCTTTAGAAAATTTAGATCATTTAAAAAAAAAAAAAAAAAGGATTAGAAAACCTCTTTTAATCATACAGTTTGCTCCTATATTGGTGGCCATAATCTTTTGTTTGTTTAAGCCTTTTCTTTTTATAGCTGCTCCTTTAGTATAAAATTTTAAATACAAATAAGAATTTGGAGGATCAAGACTTTTCTTTGGGGCATGTCATTGAAGGTACCTGTGACAGCTAGGAATATTGGGACACGTACAAGGATATACCAAGCAATTGCAAATCAGGCTGTAGGGGGCTGCTCTTATGCAGAGTTCAAGTTTCAAACATTAAAGCAACTGGACTTGGACCAACCAGACAGAGGAGGATGGAAGTGAAATAAGTTCTGGAGTGATGAAATTACTCTAGACAACTTAATGGAGGGGAAAAAAAAAAAAAAAGAAAAGCTCAGATCCCACTGAGCCATTAAATGATTGATTTCCATGTGGAAGCACCCATCTCTTCTGACAAGATTTTTGACAAAACTGTTTCTTTATTTTTCACGTGTAACTCTTCTTGACCAAAAGATTTAACAGATCAGGGTGGCAGAGAAGGGACAGAACAGTTTGAGCCCAATAGACAAAAGCTGAATATTTTGTAAAAGAAAACTGAAGTACTTGTGCATTCATTTACCATAAAGGTACTGTTTGCAGATGTTCAAGGCTGCTTAATATTCAGGCTAAATTGATGGTAAAATTGTATTTGCAGGAGCAGGAATACTTGAAAATCTTCCAATATAGAATGTAACATTTTCTTTTGATGGTTGTCTTTAAGACATGATATGTCAACTAGGTTAACAGCAAAACATCAAAACTAATTTCCTTGAGATCACCAAGTAACTACCTTTTGCTAATTTTGTAGCTTTGAGCCTTCTAGCAGGACTTTAAATCACAGGGGTCAGTATCAGATTGAAAGTGGCATTTGCAAAAGCTGAATTTAGAATGTTAACTCTCTAAATGCCATGCCACTTTAATTATTATTGGAGAAAAGTTTCCTCAGATATATACTTTTTCTAAAATACTTAAAGAATGTACTAATATCTCTATAGCCATATTAGTATTCTGGTTTCCCAGGAGTTATGCTTTTTTTTCCCCCCATACATGATTTCTAAAATCCAAAATGTTTCTCAAAACGGGCTGTAATGAGCCCCAAGAGGAAGGGTTGACTTTTGTTTTCTTTAAATCCTTACAGATACCTAACCAAATCCTTTCCCTAGACTAGATTATTCCCCTCAAGACGCATTGAATAGGCTGCTTCAAAGGCTATCGTTATTGGTGAATTAAGATAGTTCAGATCAGTACAACCTGTTTTCCAAAGGCCAGTGTTCTGGGCCAACTGTTCAGTGATGGTATTGGCAAAGGGTTAGAGTCTGACAAATGTTGTATTTGCTCTAGGAAGAAATAAAGAAAGAACCTCTTGCTTCCTATGGAGATGCTTTGTGGTGGAGCCTGACTAGTTGCCTGTTAACGCCCTTTCTACCAGGGCCGAAGCAGAGGGAGCGGAGTACAGCAGTTGGCTCTGCTTGCTCAGCAGAACAGCAGAGTCAACACAGCACAGGGGGCAGGTGGCAAATCTTTGCTGGTTTAAGCCCACAATAACTTTTGCTTGGGAGCAGACAAATACAGGAAGGCTTGACTCAGAATCACAGTGTTCTTAGGTCATATACCAGTTAAGGCTATAATGGGAATGCAGAAATGAACTCTAAAAACTGGAATATGTATGTTTTAGAACCAATTTAAATGAAATCCTAATTTAGGAAGCTCTCATTCTATAAACCACAGGCTCTAGCTGAGTTTTGCCAAGCACTACAAAATTGTCTCTACTTCTGGAGTAATTGTGCCAAGAAAGGCACCAGTATAGTGGTACCCGTTGTACGGGTCCACAGCTTTCACTCAGTTCCTGTGGATTCAATGGCAGAATTAATTGCAAAACAAAATGCATGTAATTGGATTAATTAACGATACATTTCAAGGTCTTGAAATACAGAATTAGCCACACGGGTAAATGGGCAATGCAGGATTTTCCTGAGAAGGGAAGAAGTGCTGTTTTTGGAGCTGTATTCATATTCCGTTGAGGTGTGCTTTGCTTGAAAAGCTGCTAGGCTAAGGAATGGGGCTTTGAAGGGGAAGCTAAATACTATAATTAGGGCTGCAGGACAACAAAAGGACTACTCTTAAATATAAAATCGTTTGAGTGAAGTTGTATGAAAGATAATTATATCTAAAATTGCCTGTACAGGATCTAATATTTCCTTTACAAGGACGTACAAGACTCATTGAATATTCATGGGCCTTGAACATAAGACTGGATGAAATTTAAAACACAAATTCAATTGCAATTTATTGTGATGAAATTCCCTAGCAGTTGTTGCCCCAGCCTTTTAACCTTAATAGACAGATTTCATGTTGCAGAATACAAGCATATGTGATAAATGGTATCAAAGCTGAATGGCCTTGATTGATGAACACTGACTCATTCGATAACTGTAAAGCAGTCCTCAGGCTCCCTCCTTCCTCTCCCTTCCCCCCCCCATATATTGCAGAAGAGTTGTTTGTGTTTCTGGTATGGTTATCGCATGCAAATGAGCATACTGGTTCCTTACAAGCAGGCTTCATATTTATAGATTAAATACAGCCTGAAAAAAACCATATGTTAATTACACTTTGAGGGTGTAAGAGAATTTCTCACTTGCACATACTTTGTTTTGCTGGAATTAGTGTAAATTCAGGCTCATTGTGTTTAGTTGCTTGAAGCTTGGTAATAAATGTATCACACTTTAGAAAAGCTTTCTAGTCATTAGCATTTCTAATCATTTGTCATTAGCTCAGTGCTTAAAAGTACAGCTGACCTCTACCCTACATTATGTATTTGTTTATTTGTTTTTAACAACTGGTACTTCTGAGAAGACAACAGATACTACAGGAAGATGATGCCTTGGGTTTCCCCCTCCCCGGCACAGAGCAGAATAAGCAGCCGCTCAGAGGCATGTGGGAAGAGATCTGAGAAGAAGCAGGAGCAGAAGAACGGAGCAGGACTCCTCGCAGTAAGCTCCATAGCTATATAGTCCTGATTTTATTGCCTATAGTGGTTCCATACCACAGAAGGCATGCTGAAAAATCAGTATTGTAGGGGTTCCTCCTTTAGTATGTAGTTGCTATGGAAGAAAGTCAAGACTGTGATCCCCTAAGTGGCCTTGCTAGTCACTGGTTAGTGAAAGAAATGCTGATTCTCATGAGAACAGTAGGGAATACGCAATAGGCTGAGATGTTATTGAAGGAAATGCCGAGCAGAAACACATTACAATAAAAGTGGAAAAAGTTTTAGAGAAGTAAATATGAGATATTCAAATTCCTTTTTTGTTTACTATCCCACCTGCTGTAGTTGCAAAGCATCAAAAATAAAGTGGAAAACTTAAAACATACAGTGAACTTCGTTACTACAAAAGAAAGGCGTTTGACACAACAGTCATTCAAGTAAATAGAAAACTTCCCAGTGGTTCTGACAGGGGCTGGCTTAAGCCTATACAAAATAAACACTTTTCTAGTTAACAAGTAGCTAAAATATGACACACTTCTTTCTATAAACAGTAATCCTTGAATACCTAATTCAAAGATGTATCCATAACCAGTAGGCTGTCAGGAATGAACATTAGTTAGGACTTTAAGCTCAGGTAAGCCTCCATTTTTAAAGTATCCTTCTATGTTATGATAATAAATCCTGAGATCCACAAATGAAAGAACAGTACCAAGTACATAGTAAATGGAATATACTTTTTCTTTCTTCCTTTTTGCAGCCGTCAAATCTTTTTGTAAATCGGTAAAGCACTGGCAAACTAAGAGGTAGTTTACTGAAATACCTCCGTCTGTGGAGATATTTGCTGCAGAGGGCAGTACTGTGCAGTTCTGGAAGCTGAGTACAGCTGTAGGGTGCTCTGTCAACCTTCCTCATCTGCTTCCAGGATCCAAGAGAAAATGCAGAGAAAATTTGGAAATACTAGCTTATTTGAAAGAAAGTCAGGTACCTACAGCGAGGTAAAAACATGCCCTGTTCACTTCAGTTTCCTCAAGCCCCAATACTCTGGTTGTTTTTGACCCCAGGTTATCATGTCTTCAATATGTAGACATGTTAATCTTATTCTTAAAAAAAGCTTTCACCTTGATAATTTTATACTCTGTAGCTATAGCAAACCTTGACTTTATGAATGTATGGGGTTTAATTTACAACATTATATGTGTATCACATGCAAAACTGAATACATTTGGATTGGTATTAGTGGAGAAAAAACAGCTACTTCACTGCTGACTTCTTAGGATGCAGCACAATCACAACATTTAATATTAGTGCTATTTGGTCAGGTGCTCACCTGCACAAAAAAAGTCCCCTTTTTGAGGCTTTACAACAATGGAAATTTTGTGACCACTCAGAGGATACGTTTCTCCCTTGTGATCTTACAAAATTATACTGGGCTGCAATGAATTGGTAACACCAGAGACAGTATGGTGACTTAGATGAATTAGTTTGATGCAGCAGGCAGGTCTTCTGCTGTTGGTATGTTTGAACGGAATCATGTGTGTCTAACCATATCTTCTAAAAAGAAACAAACAAAAACCTAAATCTATTTACATTTCCATCATTCAAGTACTTGATATGGACTGGTGGGTATCAACTGTAGTCTTGCAGTTCACTGGAGACCTAGGACAAGATTCTGATAAGTTTTTCTTTCACATTCCCATGAATGATGTCTCTTCACATAGTCCTTAGCCTTTCTTACGATTTCTCTTTTCATAATAGGGTCATTCATCAAACTCTTGGACAGCAAAACAAACTCCTAAAATATAAATAAAATAATAAATTAAAAATTCCTTGAAGTTCTAATGATCACAATGAAGTTCTTGATCACAGTAAAGCACTTCAATTGGGAGCCAATACATATACAAAGCTGTTCAAAGTAATTTTTCAAGGTCAAGTACCATAGTTTGTTTATAAACAATGATCAATAAATAATTATTTTATATCTTTTATACAAACCACCAACTAAGAGATTTAAAATCAAAGACAAATACCAAAGAGTATTAAAACAAGTACATGCATCAAATTGAATGGACACAAAAACTATTTGTCTACCAGAATGTTAGAAAACCAGATTGGTTATAAACTAAATAATTCCTTTGGTCTCCTGCATGGGTGACAGCTGGCATCGGATTGATCTAAGCTCAGCTAAGCACATTGCTACTGAAACATCTTTAGTTAATTGCATAGTAAGACTAAAAAAACTTGCTACACAAAGACAGTTATAGAATAAAGTTAGGAGCAGGCATGCAGCAACAAGCTCTTCTGGAGTGGCTGATACTGAGCAAATACAGATACAGCAGTGTTACTTCAACAAGCTCTGCAAAAAAAAAAAAAAAAAAGGCACATATGAAATTCCTTTAACTTTACTGGGCAAACTGCTAGCCCTGATAGATTACAACTATTCCTTTGCTTGTTCCTCTGCCACTCTAATTTAGTTTCAGGGAAGTGAAGCTATGAACATCAAATATGTGAAAAGAGATCTGATGTCTGAACTAACCTATTCTGAACAGCTGGTCTAACTTCTTATGAAGAGATAACTTCCAGTACTTCATCTTGACTACGAATGTGCTTAGACCTTTGCAAAATATGGTCTTTTGGTTCAGTTCAGCAAAGCAAACAGCTATTAGATCAATGAAAAATTAAGCTAAGACATTATTACACAATGGGTGTTGAAGATCAGTGACAGGTTTTTTTTTGTTGTTGTTGTTGTTTTTTGTTTTTTTTTTTAAAGGCACACATAAGGACATGGGGACATGAAGAATAGCCAATGGAGATATGTTATTTACATAAACGCTCAGCTATGAAAGGAAGTATCACAAATAAGACCAGAGTTATATCAACACTAAGTTAACTGACAGACTATCCTTGAAAAACTCTAGTACAAATTGTATAAAAAGATATAAAAAAAATCTTTGCTTACCACAGGCTCAATGTTGAAGTTGTATTACAAGTGATGTCTATGCATAATACATAACAACTATAGCATGACCCTTGGGAAACACTGATATGTGAAATCACATTGAACATGTTATAATCCCTGCCTTGACCCTCACTGACAAGACAAATTGTCAATATATGCATCAGTGCCATGAAATTTAAATGGTCAAAGACACAAACATCAGTTCTGTTAGAAAGGTTTGTAACTAAGTTACGTAACCAGTTCTGTGTGTTGAAAATAGAGTAAGATGATTTTCATACATGCATATTAATAACTTCTTTTTTTTTTTTTACATGAAATCAGTACTGCAGTGTAATTTGTGCAAAGATGCTTTTCAGCCTCTGTGGTTTATGGGTGCAAAAATGATACTCCTTGCCCAGTGATCTGAGCACAGGTTTCACCTCAAATACATTTTTTTCTGTGTCTATTCAGAAACAGTTATGCTGATATACAGTTACATACTTAGGATCCATGTGGTCTGAAGAGGGTATTTTCTGACTGTGCTTGTAAGACTCTCCCTAAGGAAGACAGGTGAGTCTGGTCTAGAGGGTAACCTAAGGCTGCCTGTATCAGACAGTGAAGATACAGCCAGTGACTCCAACCTTAGAGATGTATTCTTTTCCTTCTTCCATATCTGCCAAAAATACAGAACAGGGGAGGTGGGAAAGTCTTACATGACTTATGTTGGCTTCATCCAATTGCCTGTATAGTCATAGTAATAAATACTGTTCACACTGAACTACATTCCAACTTTAATTTTATGCTCCTGTGGAGGATATTATTTAAAGTAATGTTTAAAAATAATTTATGTAAATTATCTCAGAACAGAAGCAGCAATGTAACATTTCTTGACAGGTAGTCCTATTAGCATTCCTTTAAAATGTGGATATAGAGGAAAAAAACTTGGTAACATGTAAATGATAGAGGCAATGAGATACTTATTCGCAGTTACAATACTTAATGCTGGGGATAATTTCAAGATAATGCCAGCCTGAGTCCAAAGCAGAAAAGCTGAGCAACTGCAGGAGGGAGAAACAGCAAATGGAAAAATACTAGGGGACTAGGAATAAGGACTTCTCAGCTTTATCCCTACCTCTTCTGCTAATCAAATGTGACCACCTACAAGTCACTTACAGTCTGACTGGAAGCCAATAGAGAGATTCACGATGACTTAACTGGGTTTTGCCTCATACCCTCGGAGCATCTGGCTGAGGTGGGTTTTTTTTTTTTTTTTTCAGTTTTGTGTGCTCAGTTTTAGAAAGCAATAACCTTATTCTCAGGTGTCTTTTTTTAACTCCAACTGACTTGAATTTCAGTTGTAGTTTTGTGGTAAATCTGAAGCATGGGCTTCCACTTGCAGAATGTAGACACTGAGAACTCAATGCTATTTCTGAACATTTAGGATTTAATTTCTTTTTATTGAAAACTTATGATATGCAAATTACTTACTGTGGGGTATCATGTCTTTGCATCAGCTGCTAGGCTGGATGCATTTGTGCAAGTGATCTTACACTCTGATTTTGCTGCAGATGTGAAGTAAGTTTTACTTCCGGTGAAAGAGGGGCAAAATTCACAAATTACTTTTTAATTATCAAACAGAAGAGTATGCACCTCAACCGCAACAGCAAAGGAGGTGATATGCATGATAATTTACTAGTTGGGGGAAAGAAAAATGTTTCTACTAAGCCCTTCGTTCACATACAGAAATGGGTATAATAATAATATATGTTGTGGGGAAAAAAATAGTGTAGAAATTGAAGCCTCAGTAGTTGGCCACAACCCAGAAAAAAGAGGGGAAAATATCATGCTGTTTGTTTGCATCCAGACATAGTATTATCACATGTGCCCTTTTTGTGGGTAGTACATCACTTCAGACACAGGCATTCTTTAATGGCAAGATCCATAATATATTTTTCCCCTGGTAAATTGGCCAATCCACTTTAAAGAAAATACTGGCTTCTGTATATAGTACTTCAAAGAAGTTCTGCATAATATTTTGTAGAGACCCAGAAATACAGGTATCTGGGAGATAAAGCTAAAAAATGAGTGAACTGAGTAAACAGAATGAATATTCCTTCAGTTATGAGGAGAGCTACCAAAGTGCCACAGCTCACATGTGATGAAAATAAAATGTGTGGTTAATATATTATTTATATAATGAAAGTAAGTCTGCTATTAAACCATTTCATATCAGCTTCAGCAGATAAAAGAACACGATTCTTAAACAGCAGAGAATCACCCCAGGGAAGGCAAACTCTAGATGTAAATTCAGAATAGTGACATAGCTACCTAGTGGCAGGCAAAGCAAAGATTGCAGGCACATCTGTGTGCTTCACAGGGCAATGGCCCAGTATTTCTAAGAGAGTATAAATAGTGATTGCTGATACTGCCAAAAAAAAAAAAAAAATCACAAATCGGCCTATTTAATACCAAGACTAAAAACTCGGCGTAAATTCTGCCTTGAAGCTCCAGTCTCCCACAGTAGGGATGGTACTGACCCACGTTCAGCAAAGGACAGCGATGCGCCTTCAAAGTATCACAGTCTATAGCCAGCTGAGCTGGTTCAGCAAGTCAGTTGTGTTTTCCTGACTAGTTCAAAAGTTATTTCTGCTACCAGTAGTCTTTCTCTTGCTCTCACTTAAACACAGTTTGTGCTTGGAACCTCTCTTAAGGGCTCTGAAGTTTATTTACCTCCTCTCCCTCCTTCTGTGAGCTTTCAGAGATGCTGCTATATAATTTTGAACCTTAGGATGCTGAATAACTCTGTGTCTTCCCTTTTAACATGCTTTCGGCATTATTTATGGCCCAAAAGCAGGTGGCTATTCTTATCTCTTACTTACCAGTTTTTCTTTCATGTCCCATTAACTCAGTGTCACTTATAACATAAACTTGCAAGTTCAAGTAATGGCAGAACTAAACCATGATTTAAAAGTAAGGTGCACAGATGATGTTCTGTCCTTGATACTACATTTCACAGTTTCCACTTTTACATTAACTGCTGTTTTCACCTGGGTATTTTTTTTTTTAAATGATTGGCACAGCTTTCCCTATTTCCAGTCATGAAGTCTGACGATATCTGCAAATGGTTAATGATGAGTATAACTATGCACAAAATTTGCTACTTCTCTAAGCCATGAGAGCTCAGTTGGTTTCCTCTGTAGCAAAAATAAAAGAAAACCGACAGTGTTTATAATTAAAAGTAATTCTTGTTCCAAAATAGCTAAATTAGAAAGATATAAATTGACTATCAAAAGATAAGCTATTCCACACACCAGATACACCAGTGTTTTCTGCACTTGAACTAACTTACAGTCCGTACCATCACAACCATGTAGGAACCACTGAACTTAAGCAATGACAGATGATTCCTTTGACATTTTCTTAAAAATCTTCAGTGACACAGATTCTTCAACACAGAGATGGATTTCCCCAAGCATCTGACTACAGTACTAACTTATCCATACCATTAAAGGAATTTTCCTGTAATGTGTAACACACTACAATTTTATCACACTGTCATGAACTACCTTAATTCATATCTCCTAATTGTTTATAGTCTCCTGAACTGTTAAGATTTTTTTGTTTGTTTCTGGATTGTGGTCTGTTTTTAGCTGTGGGCTAAAACAGAGGAATGGATTTTTTTGTGCTGAGGAGAATTTAACCTTGTCCTTGGACAGTTTGCAGTGTATCCTTTTAGATCTAACTTATACCCAAGGACTAAAGGACAAGGCTGTATGATGAAGCAGACACGGAAATCTCTTTAAGGGGCTCTGGGTGGGATGGAATAAACACTTAGACTTACGGAGCATGGCGGATAAAGATGTTGGCAAGATAAAACATTCTAGAAATTAGAATTTTTACAAGGTTGAGATTTAGCAGCTTTCTGAGAAGAGGAAACTTTTTCTTGAAGAACCTATGCAGTCTAACAATAGGAGAATGACAACGTCTGCTGTTCAAAAGCCAGCCAGAAGGTAGTGAGCTGCAGGAAAAGGGATAGCAGGGCAGTTTAGCTCCCTGAAAATTGCCACAGAGGAGAAGAGGACAGGAGAGAAGATACAGCTCTCAGGATAGGGAAAAGGGTGAGCAAGGAGGACAATCCTTCCTTGTCCCTTGTTCCTTCTTCATCATCCATTTCTTCTTGAGGAGGAACAAAGGTACTGAAGAAAGGCTTAGTCTGAAACAGATCTCTGATGAAAGAGTAAGTTTTTCTAAGTGTATATATGAGAATAACTATAATTACAAGAAAATACAAAGGAAACACCTTTGCTCAAAAAAAACCCAAAAACCCAAACAAAGCAAGCCTAAAGGATTGCCAAGAACTTCAGTAAATGAAGGTGGGTTAAAAATGAACATTTGCTGTAGCAGAAAAATAGTTTTAGTGAGGAATTAGGAATCAAATTGAGATGCAATTACATGATTGAACATCAGCTAGTTCATGGAATAAGGAACAAAATGATTTGGAACAATGTTTAATGCAAAACCAGCAGGAAGATGATTGAGATTCACATTTAACCTATGATAGAAATAACCTTTCTTGGTTGATAAAAATCTGGACAATTCAAATAGCTTAAGGTAGTGAACATCTCCTGCTTTCTGAATGATCTGACCTGTAATCAGACAGAAGTGAAACAGCACATAAATCTTAGGTTAATTTAAAATGATATTTCTAAACAGTTTGTTCTGACAGGACTAATTTAAGAACAAACTAACCTGTCATAATTGAGGTTACAGCAGAAAATATTACCAGATAGTTAAGATGACAAAGTAATCAAACTAACAGAAAAAGAGAAAACTTCTTACGAGAACATATGTTTTCCCATCCCCGTTGACAGACTGAATCTTCTAAGATAGTATCCAAAGTGCTAAGAGCAGACTGCTCCTTCTTCTAACAACAAAAAATATTAGAAATAGGTTGAAATTGGAAGTGTTCTAACTTAATCTCATTTCTTTGATCTACTGTAACTCCCAACCCTTGATACACTACATACAGTGGTTGGAAAAACTGTATTTGATAGGGATTTGGGAGATAGGGAACAACAGTAAATGGTTACTTTAAGACTATGAGTGCAAATGATTGACATTCTGTCCATTTGGCATTTTTTTCACTGCAAGAAGAAAGTTTTTCTGCAACTCTGCAGTGGGATTAGAGTATTATCCCGCAGATAAATATTTCCTTGACCCATTTGCAAACTTTGACAGTTTCTACATCATTTGACACCAATAAAACTAGAAAGGGGCTATTATTAAATGAGCTACAATTGCTGTTGTTCAGAGATGGGAGGGTATTACTTCACTTTCTAAGATAGTGTAACTATACAAATATTAGTGATGCCAGTACAAATATCATCTAGGAGTAGGTTGGTTAGTATGGTAATGAAGTTACCATCTTCACTTAAAAAGACACTCTGTGAACTACTGGGACAAAATAACAGCAAAAAAGGGGTCAACAAGCAGCAGGAGACTGGAGTTTTCTGATCTTTGCCACAGCATGTTGCAGGGAAGGGAGCGCAGACAGAAGGGGTTATTTAAACTACGATTATAGCATTCTAGATGTATTTACAGTCTGTGACTGCAGTCCTGGTATAAAAGAAAGCCCTTAAGAGTGTACAGACTCATTGAGGATAGTGAAACTACCTCAGTGCTTAAAACCACACTTTTCTCCAACGGAGGAAACGTATAGGCTATTTTTAATTGATCTTGAACTCCAAAAAATGGAGGATGCTTTCAGATCATAGGAACGGTTTCTTATAAGGGTGTACGCTGGAGCTAATTGGGCCTGGTATGAATTATGTTTTTGAATTCCAAGGCAAATTACACTGGCAAGTTGAGGAAAACACCAGTATGTAACAGAGTTTATGTCAGAAGAGCCATCACTATGCATGTTCAACATGAGGTACTAAATACATATAGCCTTGAAATTTTGAAGGAGCATATGCAAGTCAAACGGTTCTTTGCAAAGAATACCTATACAAATACCTATACTCACAGTTTTACATCTCAGCCTCCACTAGCTAGTAAGTAGCCCCCCCCCAACCATTCCAATAGGTATAGTAAGAAGAGGGAATACTTCCCAAGCAAAAAAAATTCCAGAGGTTAGTAAAGAAATCTGGTTGTAGAAACATTGAATACTCCAGAAGAAACCATCAGCTGCAAGAATTTTTACATTTAAAAAAAAAAAAAATCAAAACTAACAGAGAGCACTCACCTTCCTGAAACAATACTTTATAATTAGTCATACACACTCCACAAAGTAGATAAATGACAGATTTTTCTACTTTGAGAAATAATCAAATAGACTATTCTAGTAAGTTTTATTTAATCTTGAAATGAATAAAAAATACTAATGGCTTAGCTGAAAATTGGTATCTAGTAAATTCTGGTTTATGTAATAACAAATAGGCTGATATTCAATCCTTGCTTCCTTAACTACTATACTGGCCATATTAGTTAATCGGTTATAGCCTTATCTTGTAACAGGAATAAAATTTATGTGGAACAGGTTCATGACAAGTTTGAAAATTATATATGAGATTTCCATATATGATAGCACATATATGAGCACAGCAGGAAGTAATGATTTAGTTAGGTATACTAGATCAATAATGAAATATGCTGACATGGAAAACACAATACAAACACTCTTAGGTTACACTTATGACAAGGACAATCGCATACTGTAATTAACATATGTTGATCCAATTCTCCTCCCTGGGAGTTGTACAGAGTCCTGTCAAACAAATATCGGATATGATCGTCTCCTCATACAAAACATCACCTTAGCCTTCCTTCCACCAGAAGTCCAAAGTATCAGTGCACCCATAATGAACGAGCCTTCCCTCTTCATTGTTATAATTTAACAGAATGTTAAATTAAGTCTTTAGACAAGGGAAAAAAAAAGAAGGAAGGAGAAGAAAGTCTTTGTAAGACATTCTTGAAAGGGGGCTTTGAAAACTCGCTGTCAAGCCTTTCTTCAGTATTTTACTAATACAGGAGTCAAGTAAGAAAAAAGTGAATTGAAACCAAAAGGAACCTGTGTCTGAAAGGCAGAAAAATTCTCATCATATACAACTACATAACAGCAAAGCCACAATGGAGGAAAATATATTCACATGCAAAATCTCTAGAATTTAAATGTGGAATGCTCCCACTCTCCTCACTCTTACTTATCTGCACAGAAACTCAATTTTAAAACTTCGCTTGGTTCTAGTCATTAATTATTTTCTGACCTAGCAGTATCTTTGACCTAATAATGCTTCACATTAACACTCAGTTCTAAAAATTACAGATAATATATTATCTAAAACTTCAGGCTTATAGTTCTCTTTTGGTCAGCTACTGCTTGTATAATATGAGTTTGCCTTTCAGTTAACACTTGAAGGGAACTAGGACATATGCATACAATCTGTTCTAAGGTTTGCTCATGAACCCTTCAAAAATCAAAGTGCAACAGGTGATAGGCTATGAAGTCTCGGTGGGGTGGCATGCCCTACAGCAATATAGGCTTGACAAACATTCAGCAAGGCTGACACCTAGCAAAAGTTTAGTGAACTGCAAAGTGAACGTGAGACAACAGCAGAGCTTCAAGAAAGGAAGTCTAAGACTGGGGGAGGAGGGGTGAGATTTAAGAGAATCTGAGAAAAACTGCTAAGGGTATAAGCAAAGTATCCAGATAGACACAAGCATGCAATGGAAAATGAACCTAATATTTGGAAGGGAACCAAAATTGGTCTAAGGCTTTCTTATTTTGTTACCTGGGGATCCGAAAATAGCAGTCCTGTATCCGTATGTTTTATTATTGCTGTATTCCCAGGAATGTTTCTTGCCAGCACTGGAATGTCTAAATCCATTGCCTAGAGGAATGTGAAAGGAAACAACACAGTTCATTAGGATTTTGGGACGTTACTGATAAATTTAAAATGAAAAGGAGACACAATCCAACTTCCTTCCCATTGCTTCCCCTGACAGCCTAAAAATATCAAGTCTAATGTGATCTCCCATATAGAACGTCACTGAAATAATTTCTTTATATTTTTGCCAGTCTTGTTACTTTGAAAATAGTATCAGAAGCAATCAATCCAGAAAGTCCAATGGCTAATCCACGCTTTCTCCTGCTCCTCCTCACAGTGTGCAGAGTTTGGTGCCCACTGGAAGTTTCTGACATATTTTAAGGGGTTAAAATTAAGGTTCAGATGGAAGGTTGTCCCTGTAACTCCCACTGTTACCCTGCACAGATGAGAAGATTAGTTTATAATATAAAGGCCAACTGTCCCACATACAGAGTTGGGGGGGAGAGAGAAAGAGAGAGCGAAAGAGAGAGAGAGAGAAAGAGAGAGAGAGATGCTTTCAGAACACATTGCCTGCAAAGCTGTTGGTACAGGAATCCTCAGAGACCAAGGAATACATCTGAAGAAGTGAAATTTGAATCCATACAAACTATGGGCTGGTTCAGATCAATAAAATAAATGTGCATATATTTATGTCTATATATGCATGTGTGTGTGCGTGCATGCACACACACACATATACACACATATATGTAAGCGTGTGTGCATGTATACACACACACACATATATGTATGCATGTTTAAAAGAGGAACAGAGGTGTGAGTCTCAAGATAGTATCATGTCAGGCTGCCTGGAGAGTCAGGTGCAGGCATGCACCACAACATCCGTTCACAGCCAGGACATCATCTCCAAGAAGACACCTAAGGCCTGGCAACTTTTAAAAATACAGCTCAGATTTTGAAGAAACTAGTATGCAAACCCTGGCCACTCAACCCTCTTCCTCATACACAGCCTGATCTGAAATTTTAATTACTCTTGCTGAATTTGGAAGGCTTGGGATGCAGTGATGCTAAACCCAGGAGAAAAAAAAAACCATATTGTACAATTATCACTGTGTCAAACAACAGAAAGAAATTCACTCCCCCAAATCTTCAATCTGTTTCTTAATGATTCCCTGTCACTTCAAAGAGAATGCATTTTTAATTACTGTCATTATGCTCTCGGATAGGAAGCAATTTTCCATCAGTATACGTAGCAAAAAAACCTCAAAACATTATGGATAAAACCAAGAGTGTACTTCACTTGCTTTGCTTTTTTAAAATTCAGACAAAACTGGAGACAAAAATACCCTGGCCTATAATGTCCAAAACCAATTATGTTTTGCACAGTGAAGGAATGCTATGGCTTAACAATATGTGCTAATAGGTTAAAATATACAAGAGAAACACTGTTTAAACAACCACTGCAGATAAATTTATTCAAGACATATAACTCCTATAGTCCTTCTGGCACAAACATCTGCTTTGCAGCAGTTAGCTCTAAAAATAATAATGACACTTAATGATATAATCTGTTCGACACCTCACACTAGAAGCTACAGGGTCAGCTGGAGGTAATTCAGACAAATAGCTTAATGAAGTGAACTCAAACCAGAGTAAATAAATTGGCAAACTAAAAACTACAGACCAGATCCTGAATTTATCCAAGTGTCTAAAATTGCAGAGATACATCTTCCTTATTAAACATAATTTTTGGTGAGGGAAATACAGCTTTTGGTCATCCACAAAGGATTTATTCATTTGCTTTGAATTTACTGTTAAACAAAACAAAACAAAACCAAACCCTCAAATCTGCTTTCCAAAGGTAGAGTTAAAAAAGAAAAAAAAAAACTGATGACAATATCTACTTATCAGCCCAGTAAAATTCCCAGCATTCACTCAGCAAATAAGAGGTACCAGCTCCCCATTGCGCCTGATGGGATTTGAATCTGCAGGCCGAGGAAGTTGCTTTTGGCACTAATTATTCAACTCTAGACCTAACATGGTTACCACAGCAGCATCAACACCTTAAAGGACTGAGAGAGAGACTTTCTGATTCATCTCTCTCTTCTCAGACCTTCCTACTGACAGGCTTAAATGCCCTTGTGCTCCGTGTGCCAGCTGCTCTTGATCTCTTTGGAACATGTCCAGTGAATGGGGAATGAAAACATTTTACTTGAACTTCTAAACTGAAAATCAAGAGCTTGACAGTAGCAGAGAAGTGTATCAGTGTTCAGTGACACCTACCTACAGCCCTTGGCCTCACCTTCTTGTATTTCATATTTGCTATTCGTTTAAAAACCAAAACCATGGTAGCATTTCAGATCTGGCAATGTTCCAAACAAGAAGTGACTGTCCACTCAAGAACGTGCCATTAAAAAAAAAAAAGAAAGAAAAAAGGAAACCCACAAAACACAACACAACGTTTGACCCCAGACTTGGCTGTTCGAACTGCCCACTCTCAACACAGTAGCTGTCCACGAGAGAGAGAGAGAGAGCGAGAGAAAGAGAGAGAGAGGAGTTTGAACGCTAGCACGTTGGCAGCAACGAACAGTGGACACTGTGCCATCTGGCTGCGCACAAACAGTAATTGTCAAGTATGTGTATGATCGCCCTATAGCACTTGTGTGTTAGACTGTACCTAATGGTGTGGTGTGTTAGATTGTACCTTATATGCTGGCACAGTATTGCTGTATTGCAGTGAAGACTGGACTGTAGCACGCTTTCTTTTTTTTTTTTTTCCTTCCTTTTTTTTTTTTGTCAGAAGATGTGTTCATTCACTTCTGCCCATGAATGCTACATGGTTGATGTCTCATTAAAGTTGGCCACTAAATTTATATTTCATTTTCCATAATTTCTGAACTCGCAAGGGAAAGACATTTGTTCTATCTCATGGAGTTGCAGGGCAATAACCGCTACATCAAAAAACTTTTACGGTCCCAAAACACATAGGTATCAATGAATTATAGCCACTGAAAGATACAACAGATGGCCAAATACATAAGATGAGGGGCTGGCTTTATACCAGCTAGCCTTAAACAAATGGATTGTGCTGTAAATAATTACTGCATGAAGTGGCTTAGAATTTAATTTAGATACTTAGCCTATTTTTAAGCAGTAAAATGAATCTTTCGCATTGTTGAAAATATGTATAATTTACTGACCTAAGTTCCACAAATAATAGGGTAAAATAACATTTTATTCAGTTAGCCATCTGTTTTGTTACATTATCATGACCGCAAATGTGCTTTAAAGCTATATCAGAACGGTACAGCCTGTAAATTTTAGCTTTGGAAATATGTTGCGCAATAAGCATTTCTAACCAGCAGTGTGGGACTTACAGAGTAAATACAGTTTTTGTTTACTATTATGTCTTTTGGCTTGTCCCTCATTTTCTTCCTCCTATCCTATTTGCATCCTTTTTTTGGCCTCTCTTCAGCTTTACTCCACCACTGCACCTCTTCATTGCTATTTTTATAGGTTTCTCTGGCTTCTGTTCTGAACTATAAGGCCTGTACTTCACATGCTGGCTAAGACTGGAATTTGTACTACAGCAAAATAGAGACTGGCTGTTTTCGTTTTCTATGACTTTTTTTTTTTAATTGGCTTTTAGTTTTGTGACGGTATAACAATCTAATAATAGTTATAATAGTTGGAATATTCTTTACAGTAGAGAAAATGCTCTGATGAAATGGTGCTAAGGTCAAAAACTTTTGCTTTCCAACTACAGGGAAAACGCACAAATTTTTCTACTAATAGTGCCTGTTTCACCATTAACTGGCCAGCAACATGCAGCACTCCTGAGTATTTTGACTTCATGAGATGCATTTTAAATGCTTACCATAGTGCTTGTTTACTCTTTAAATAGATCAGTTAGAGCAAAGATTTCTGAGATACCAGTACTAGATGACAAATAATTAATTAGCTATGATTTCTGGTTGTTTCAAACCCTAAGGCAGGTTTAAAATAGATATGATTTTATATTTATCTTGTGTTTATCTCATATATTTATCTCATACAAAAAGCAAGCTATGCATGTGCTCAGCGTTTATAGATTCATGACTTCGTTAAATTTTGAACTGCCAAGACGATGAGAATTCCATTTTAAAATTCAAGCAAGATGTTATTTCCAGTCAATGACCAAAAGATTTTTACACATAGTTTTCTGCCTTGTTAATTTAACAAGATCTTAGCAGATGGCCCTTCCTACTACCGGCCTCAGGTAGGGACTTGACTTAAATAGACTGACACTTCCCCTGAGAGACAGATTTTTTACAGTAGGATATTTTATAAGCTTGTCATCAAATCCCACCGTACAACCGTCTAGTAGATATTCATACAAATACCAAAATCCTTACAAGTTTAGAAGACGCGTTCAAATGGATTGGAGCAACTAAAAGGGCAAGCTTCAGATAGTTTCTCAATAGACGGCTAACAACCCAATTCTGCTTGCAGAGTTGATAGGAGCAGCTCCGAAATTCTAATCTAGCCTGAGCTTCCTCCTAATTTTACAGGGTTTAACGGTCCAGCAGACACCATACATTCTTTACTGTAATATTTGAGCAGCTCAGAATCAACAACAGATTTTATTCTTACATCTGCCATGTGAAAAATTATCCATATTTTTCAGACGGAAAACAGTGGGCATAGGACTGATCAACTGATCTGTCCAAGATCACACATGAAAATCCTGACCGAACTCGGAACTGAACTGTTGTCTCACTACATCTGAGCTGTGTTTATTAGACCTTCCTTCCTATAATGCAAGATTGCAGTGTGTGCCTGTAATTGGTAACTCATTTGCTTGCAGCAGATATGCACCTGAACTAGCGTGCTCAGGCTTCTGAAAGTATGCCAGTTCTTTTTATCACTGTTACTTGACTTCAATGATAAACTCGAAGCCATGAGTTATCATTTCAGAGATTAGGCTGTCCTTCCTCCACTGCTCAGCTAGGCTAATACAGGACAGAGGCTGGTGAAAAGAAATGGGCTATGCCCATGGTTATAGACTTATTTTTCTTCCTGTGAAGAGAATCTTTCTGAAGGAGATCATAATTTTCAAACAAGAATATGTAGCCTTTTTATAGCTCTCTATAATAAATCTTACATAACCATATAGAGACAGGTGCAGTGACATAAAACTTACCATAAAAGGTGAGCAGTAACCAGCATCTACTATCTCACTCACCGATACATAGTCTCATAGTTCTGAACTGAATGTGGGACTGTTTGACAGAAAAACTCTTTATGATGCCGAGTTCTTCACATGAACTCTATCACTCATGGAGCAGTTTAAGAGAGGCAGCACCGTAGCAGAGCCAGCAGAAATGTCTTATTTGAGAAAATACAGGAAGTGTCTCAACTAGCTGCTCATATCCTGGTGTATCAGTTTAAAACGAAATGGGCAGTGGTAAACTGTGAGTTGTGACAGCTCAAAAGCTCACACTTTTCTCATCTGCTGACTTAAACCATGCCAAGCACACTTGCACTTCTACTGTAGACGCCTTATCTCTGAACAGCCTTTCTGTTTGGACCTTTTTTTTTTTTTTCCTTCTTTAACTCCCTAGCACTCACAGGAGTTTCATCAGACTGATTTTTGGTCAACTGTTGTTATGTGAGCAGGCCTGAAGGGAAGTTCTCCTCAATGAAGAAGTGACAGGTACTTAACATTTACTACTCTTAGTGACTAACTTAGTTGTGGCTACGTATCGTGTTAGTACACTCCATTTCATCTCAACAACTACTGAGCATTAAAAATTTGTCTAGCCTGCCACACTGCAGGAATAACTTTGGAAATGTCACAATCTGTAGTAATTGTTGCTTCTATACTATTGTTGCTGTGAAACAGCATCTGCATCCACCTCTGAACAATTAGCATTTCAGAAAGGAAATGCACATTTGCCATCTCAGATCACCTAATTTTCAGCAGTGAGCTTACTTACGAAGAACTTTTAGCACGGCTGAAAAGCGTGCTGGAAATGCAACACGTGATTACTCATTAGAAATAGCAATGGGAGATTTATTATTAATACAAATAATGTAATAGTTTCTGTGGTCATCAACGATAAACCAACATTCAGCAGCCACAAAAAAACCAGAATAGTAGAAGGCCGCTACCCAAAGAAAGAACTTCTACATTAAGTACATTTATTTCTTTCCTAGAGAGCATTTGATACTAAGCAGGGCCCTGCTCAGACAGGTATGAAATAAACCTGGTTATTAATTTTCAGAACCGATGGCAAAAAAATTAACTAAGCATGTCATTCATTCATTCATCATTTCAGAATTAAATAACCAAATACAGCTCTTAGATTGCTTTGTGAAAGGTTGTAAAAATAAATGGAAGTCTATTCTAGCAACACTACAAGGAACTAGATGTAGAATCAAGAATACTGGCAGTCCTAATAAATCAGAATAATTCTCATATCTCAGGTCTGTAATATTAAGTTAGCAGGATTGAAAACAATTACATTATGTCCTTTAAAATAACTAGAAAAAAACATAAAAATCTGTCAGTTAAGGGGGGAAAAAAAACTTAATTACTAACACTTGCGAAAAGAAATAGTTTAGTTTTCACCAGCTTTGAAATGTGGACATAAAATGTTGATATGTGTTTCCACTGATAAAAGGTTATTTCAGATTCACTGTAACCTCACTGAACACCCTCATTGCAAAGATGCAATTACCTCCAGAATTGCAGCAGACATTCCCTCTGAAATGGAGCTGTTCACCACAGCAAAGCACCTTTTCATAGCAGCATGAAGATCATCTTGTGACATCTCCTGTAATAAATGTACTCCAGGTGCCCTAGAAATAAAGCATACACAATTAGGACACTTGCTAATACGAGCTCTAAGAATTTTACTCCCTAAAACTTAGCGTGATGATGGAAGATGGCCAGAACACTTCAGACAGGGTTCTGATGTTAACAATCATTCGCCCATGGGGAAGCCACTTTACCACATTTTTCTTAGCTTTCTGTCTGTGAACGTGGTTACAAACTTAATACAGGCATATCTCACTCTCTGCCATTTTGGTGTCCTGGAGCTTTATAGTCAATCACTTCATACCGGTCTCATAAATGGTAGTCAACCACTGCCAGGCTCATAAATGAAGGAACTCAGTTCAATAGACAGGGATGCAACTGTCCCTTAAGAATTTAAGCAGTGAGGGAGGATGCATGCAGCGGTTTATGAGAAACACCCAGTTTAAATACATAAGGATAGTATGTGCAGTATGGAGTATCGAGGGGAAGAAGCAGGATCATCAGAACGGTCAACTGCAGCAGATGCTGACTTTTCAGAAGCTGTTGCTTTGGGATGGACCGTGGTTCTGAAAGCTCTCTCCTGCTTCCTCTTTTAGTATAAGCACTCCTGCTGTCTCTTTCTGAATGGTTACATTCCTATTATTGTCATCTTCCTCAGATTTGACTGAGCTTGATTAATCAAGGACACAGGATGGAAAAATGGGGTAAGAAGGTGTTCAGTCTCAGATGAAGTGGCTGAGCTCTTTCAGATTGGTGATGGGTTTCAAGAAGCCAAAATCTCCTCCAGCTGATGAGCCTGCTCCTGCCGCTCCATCCTCTCCATAAGGTCATTAAGCCAGATGTGAGCACAAGTGCATCTGACCCTAAAACCAGCTCCCTGTCAACTAGACCTTGCTAGACCTTGCTAAATGTTGCTCTTCTGACTCTACAGAATGTAACACTTAGCTTAGGTAGACATAAATAACTGTATCAACTGCAGTATCAATGCATGATTATAGGAGACGTTTTCCATTAATAACCTGAAAGGAACCAAGAAAAATATTCTCTCTCTGAAAATGGAATTGCAAAACACATACTTTATGCAGATTTTTAACTCTGAGGCATATAACCGATATTAACAATCAGAGATAAGAACGTTGTTCTGCTCCAGTGAGGCAATTCTATCAACTTCAGACAAAAAAATCCAACAACTCCGTTCTCTAAAATTTATACCCTTCAATTAGGAAATGCATAAACTAGAGACAGAAAAAAGCTACTCAGGATTATCTTGTCCACCTACTCATTCACTCACCAATAGCATGGAAAATCTTGCAGAAGTCAAAGTAAAAGAAAGAATGAAAAGGCCCAAAATAGTAAGTATGAATTATACCTAATTCTAAATCAGATGTGATTGAACACAAAACATGGAGAGATCTACTGGTTATCCTAAAATTTAAAATGTATAAACTATCTGGTCTGAGAACATTACGTGCCAACTTATCAGAACACATTCGTTAGTCATACAGAGAGTAGTGCATCTATGTTCATTGTGTATACAAATGAGTGTTTATGCACATAATCTAAAAAGTCAACCAGGCCATCGCTTTCTTTTGAAGTGGATAAAAGGCATAAAATTAACTTCTTACCTTTTAACTTTTTCTTCAACTTCACTTGTAAAAAGTGGATCAACCTAGAAAGAAATACATACATGGGTATATGGCGCTACTTTGGTACTACAGCATACATTTGAAATATCCAGAAGAGACAAACAAATACATATCAATTTTTGGCACATTTTTCCTAAAATACTTAAATGCATGAATACGCTGAGCTTTAAAAATCACATGAGAGGTAGGTAATTCAGTAGAGTAACTTTTGATTCTTGAAATGAGTGCTCTTGTGAGTGATTGAAGCTTAGAACAGATGCCTCACTAGGGATGTTAGCGCTCAGGATAGCACATGCAAATTGACTGCTCCACTCATAAATCTTTCCGTGGCTACTCTTAATTCAGGATAGCTTTGGGCTATCCTCAAAAGGGAGGTTCCGTTTCTTCTCCTCTGACACCTCTCTGGCAGTAGGTTCTAGTTATTATAGATCTACTTAAAATGAATGAAGGATTGGTTTCCGATGACTCTGCTAAATGCTACCTGATTCAAATGACTGATTTGACAACTTACTGTCTAAGTGAGAAACAATGCACTTATGCGCCAAGTAATTGTTCCTTTATTTATGGAGTAATCAGCATGAGGAAGGAAAGGGACTTTTCAGGCTTTTGTTAACACAGGAAGCAATCTGCATGGGAACTGATAAAGTCAAATAGATTTTTTTTAATGCACATTATGCAATTTGCTTGAAAATTAATAAACACAAACTTATACAAAATAAGCTAGAATTATTAAAAAATTAAGATGGGCAATTAACTCCAGCAGGTTTATTTACAAAGCTTAACTAAGTCTGTTATTCTCATTTAACACGTTTAAAATAAATAAACAGAATTTGGAAAGCCTTAACTAGAGCATGAAGAATAGCACTGGACTTGTTTTTATTAAGGCAAACTGAATATATTAGATTAATTTATGACAGGCGACACAGCACACAGCAATTGAAAGCACTGTGAACAGCATGGCTTATTTTTTTAATGCATGCTAATGTGCTATTTCTTTGTTACAAAATACAGAACAGAAAACAGTAACAAAACCATTTAGAAAACTTCTAGAAAAAAGTCCGAAGTGATTTTATAGCTATGACTGTGTACTTTGAACAAAAGAATAATTATGTCCTGAAACCTAGCGCTTCATAAATCAAAAGATTCAAGCAAATCACTCTTGCGCTCTGGAATGAATTCCTACTGCATCTAAAAAATAAAAGGCTCACATAACTGCTTTAGAAAGTATTTTCAGTAACAGTGTGGGAGAAAACAGGTGCCCCTTCCTGAAGCACTACCTAATCCTGGCAACAGAGTATGATAGCGTCCTATACTCTAACCAGATGCCAATTCACAGATTCCTTGGATATTTTATATTGAACTTCATGATTGCTACTTCTACATAAACACCTTTTCAGCTTTCTCCCCAAAGTTCTATTTTCATGCCAAGTTCCTCTCATGAGGAACTAGACTCTGTTTCCATTAAAATCAATGGAGTACACGCAAGTGACTTAATAAGCAGTGCGATATGGGCTTTTGCTCTTCTACCTTTAGAAGGATGAAAAAAAGAAGTACAGCCTGCGACTCATACAATTTGTAAGATATTAATTTCTATCCTATCTATGCCTGTGGAGGCCAAGAAATTGCCATCTGTCTCATAAACAGAACAGTCCTTTAAGCTGTATTCTTCTGTTGGTAGCTATTCCAAGAAGTCCGGCCTGAATATGAAAATTCAGTTAAAATATTACTTTCAGGATGGGTGTAGCAATACTTGCAGAAGCAACAGTGATCCCCAAGAGCCACATTTAGGAACTTGAGGGGGCACAGTTATCGAACCACAGCCTCAGTATAACAGAAAATTAGATACAATATAAGCTGTTCAGTAAGTTGGAAATGCACTTCAAAGATGTGAACGCTTCCTAAGCCAACTGACGATGGCAGGACACCTAGGAACTTAGCACAGTCTCAGAAAAACCTGTGGAAAAGACAGGCTTATTTCAACCCAAAGTATCTCGATGGTCCAGTTCCTTCTATAGGTAGAGGTGATTTCCTGCCATATTTTATTTTGCTACCTATCAATGTACCAGGAAATATGGCTCATAAGTTATCTATTGTTTTCTGTTAAACAATCCTCTGCACATAGTTCTTTAACACAGAGAAAGCCTTTACAGAGCTACACGTTTCATCAGAGATCAGAGACAGGCAGCTTGCATGGTATGAACAGTTTCTATCAAAACAGACGAGATGACACATGGAAAACGCAGTGGGTGCATAGCAACTCCTGTTAAGCACAGGGCCTACAGGGATCAAAATCTAGGGGACCTTCTGTAAACACACTATGCTAAAATTGCTGTGAACTCAAACTGAAGAAATGGTACAGAAACATCTTCATTACGATTTGGGGACTACTGTGGCCATCTAAGGTTTGTAGAAAAAATTCTGTCAGAAAACTGCCTGAATACTACATAGTCAAAAGCTATGTCCACAAACGTATTCAATATGGATAGGGAGAGATTGCTTGGTTATCTGTGGTTTGCAAGGTTTTGACAGTATCGCTTTGAAAGGAATCAAGCTTTATTCACAGCAGCAGGTGACCCCACGTTACAATTTTTATCTATCTGTTCAATTGTTGAGCAGGCTCGGCAAGACCATTTTACATAATCTTTTCCATACTTCAGAAAATGTAATGCCTTCTGATGTAATGCAGCACTACTACGTCAACCTGAGATAACTAACAACAAGCCAAAAATATAGTTTTAATTCAGCTGAAACAATTTGGCAAATTGGATCTAAATTAGTAAAACTTTAAGTCTGAAACAAAAATTGACAACCCATTTTTAAAATATTGAAATGGTTAATTTCAATATATCTAACAAAAGTTTCATTTGAAGAGAGTTTTTCTTGAAACCAAGGAAACAAAGGGTTAGAAGAGTTGTCAAGCTTAACAGTGGAAGAAGTTCTTTCCTTTTAAAAAATATCTCAGTGAATAGGATACTTATTTAGGATGTAGCTGGCAGAATTTCATATTCCTCTTTAGGCTAAGGAATTTTAAATGTTATCATTGTCTCCTATCTGAGTTTCCTAATTATTGTGCTGTGGGATATTCTGGAGCAGAATATAGACTGCTTAAATATTATGTGAACAACACAACAGCGAAGAAAATGAATTTTCTAAGAATCAAGAGATTATGCTCTGAATAAGGCAGAAAATGGAATTGAATCCAGCCTTTTACAACCTGGCTGATGACCCTGCATTCTGGTTTCCTAAGTAAAAGAAAAGTGACACTGTGAGCAATGCTGTTGTCCAAACTCTTCGTTTCTTTGGCTTTTATTACATATGACCAAAAGTTAACTATTCTGTTATGCACCAAATGAAACATCCCTCTTGACATGAAACAATTTTTTTGGTAAAAAAAGACCTGCGATATTTGTTTTTCGATTTCAGATTGAACCAGACCAAATCCCTTCCAATTTTAATTTTGTCTATACATTTTCAAAAATCTGTGACTTACATTATCAAGGATTTCCATATTTCTATTAAGGAGGCACTAGACTCTCTCTAAGAGAATATTAATTTTCTATACATCCCAATCATTTGCATGCCTGAGGTCTTATCAGAATTCTAAAAATCTGTAAGTAGAACCTACTAAATAGATTTAACCTTCATACATATATATATATCTGTGTGCATGTGTGTGCACGTGTGTATGTGTGTAAATTCATACATATGTAGATACAGAGCTACTGTTACCACATTCACCAGCAGAAATATGCAAATCACTATTTGATAATGCTCCCAAGGATACCAGAACAAATCAGTGACAGCCAGAAACAGAACTCATGCGTCAGTAGTTCTACAGAAAGGAAGAAATCACTACCTTTGAGCTACATCTTTATGAATAAGCAAATTTAAACTGTAGATATTCTATGAAAGCTCAGATATATATGAAAAATGTATTTGTTGCATTGACTACTTGTGGAAGTGAGCTTAAGGGTCTATTATTTGCCAAGCTAGTTGCAGGATATTTTTACATACAAAGGAAGTACCAACCCCCCAAGTTTATAAACACTGACAAGGCAGCTAAGAAAAAGCAGCTAGGATAGAGTCCAAGTTACTGAAATGCTGTCAGGATGGTCAGTGAGGAATTACTTTAGCATAGCAGAGGATTGTGGGGTGTACGCCAGAGAACTGGCGAAATTAAGAAAAAAAATAAAGACTGTATATAAGAACAACTTTCCAACACTGATATATGCTTGCATGTGGAATATTCTTCCAAGAAGTGGTGAAAGTGCTATTAGTTGTTTCATTTTAAAACTAGCCCAGAAAACATACAGTAGGTAGCAGTCATATATTATAAGGAGGTGGGCTACATGACCTGATAGGTCCTTCCATCTCTGGAGGCAGATACTCAACTAAAACTATCTCAGTAGGCACAGAAAGAAATTGGACAGCTGAAAAATAGCTGTCTTTGAAAAAGAGCATCATTATAAACATGGCAATATTCTGTACTGTCTACAAGAATGCTTAAGAATTACACAGAGCATACAAAGTGGCCTTCAAGGGGTTACCCAGCAGCTAAACACAAGTTCTGTGGTTTTAACTTTTAAATAGTTTTAGAAGCTTCTATTCTTGGGATGTAGACTTGTTGCAAATTAGCTATTGTTTCAAATTACTTCCTTATTTAAAACAGAAATGGATAAGGGGAAATTGGAGGAGGAGATAAATGCTAAAAGTTTTGCATTAGACAGGACCTAATCCCGAGACAATTATGCCTGGCAAATGCAGGAAAAAGCCAATAATCTAATGCAAGCAAAACAGAAAACAGCATGTGGGCCTTATTCTTTTTATTCTTAACATTAATGTAATTTTTTAATATTCATAATAAATATGACTTGCTTCACAGGAAGAGTCACTGATTCTCTTAAGATCTTGTGGTTTGAGAAGAAATGTAAGAAAAGTAGAGCTAAATACCAGTAGAGCCAAACACATGGAATGCACATGAGATATATTTCTGCACACAAAATAATTCTCTGATTGGCCCTCCTTTAACAATAATTTAATACTATGGGAGAAATATATTTTTAAATGTTTAAGGAGGTTCAGTTCTTGATCCCCTCTATGCACTGCCATAGGGTTATTTCTGGTAACTTACTGTAATGACATTAGCTCATGCACAATTAAAGCAAACGTAAAAGAGAACCAAAAATGTCTAAAATCCATACTGGAGGCAGCAAGTGCATCTCTTGATTCTAAAGCACAACTTCAATGTACCTGCTCTAAATTTACCTTCCACACCAGTTCACTTTCAAATAATTTTGGGTATTAGCGTGGAAAAAAACGCAGATAAAAATGAAAATGTAAAAATGGCTTTTTAAAAATAAAATGCTTTGCCCTGAAATTTGCAAGAAATACAGCTAAATGAGAAAACAGGAAAAAATAATTCCTATTTGCCCATTCAGATTTTGTGTATTTTCTCATATATTAGATTGCCTGCAAATTTTCAGGTTCACATGATGCTGAACCAGATATGAGACTGACAAGGGAGCCACGAACAGATTTCACAGATAAGACAGTGAAGCTTTTAATATCCCTTTAGCATCAGCAAGGCTTTGTTTCTTTTTGAAATGATATAGCCACCTAGCCTTAACTTTTCCACTGTTTAGATCAAGGATACAGGCTGCTTTTTCAAGACTTCTGCTGCTATAGATACACATGCAGCACAATTAATTTCTTGCTAAAGACCTGCAAGTAGTTTTTTCCAGTTTAAAGTATTCTTCATTGACATAGGCAACATAGTAGAAGTAAAAGCACCTCTCTCCAGGGCTGTGAGAAGCCGCATAAATGAACCTCATTCTGCACAGAACTGGGAGGAGCACTTAGGTGGCTCTGAGAGTTATTTCCCCTCTCTCTCGCGCTAACTTAAATGGAATGCAACAAAGACACATACCTCCACATGAACAAAAGATGTAAGAATGGGAATAATGATGTGATATCACTTCCACAGTATTAAAAATTCTCATTAACAATACTTGCTAAAAATATTTTTAGATGGTAACAGTTGCCTTTCAAAATATCTGATAGGCTTGCTTAAAAATTACTTGTTGAAATAGCCATTTCTGATACTGCTTTTGCAAGTATTTTTAGTGCTTTCTGATTTTCTTAACAAACTTCATACTATCTAACAGGTATAAAGAATCTGATTTAAAATTCCAAATATGTTGACACTTTTTATCTTCAAAAGTTGGTTCTGTAGTCAAATGTAACGCTAAATGTTTTGCTCTAGGAGACCATAATCAATGAATAGCATTACCAAGTGCTATGCATGAACTAGATACAAAAGTAAGCACTCCAAATGTGTCTTTTACAAAACTAGCCCAAGCCCTCAGAACAAGAAAATTCAGCATCTGTAAAACAAATTTTCAGTTGCTGTAAACTCTTTCAGCTCTACTGATGACAGTTTGCATAAAAAAAAAAAACACTTAAGTGAATAGAATTGGGCTACCTCAGTGCATAGCCTCTTAGAAACCCCTCTTAGCTGCTTTCCTTTTTGGCACACAAATTATGCTAAGTGAATATTCTTTGTACTCAGTGAGTCAAATCACATGCAGCGCAAGAGAGAAATAAAGGTTGGAGTCTGAAGCCTATGCAGTGCATATAATGGAGAGACAGCACCAGAACCGTAAGCTCTGCGAGGTACCAAAAAATGCTGACTGCAGCCCCTCGGCTGACAGCAGAGCCCTGAACTCTGGAGAACATAACACCAGTATCTGTTCCCCTTCCACAGTTCAGACCTGTTGAGAGCAGCCTTTGTAACTATTAGGTTTGTACCCTGTTATCTTTATAAAAGTTAGAAGTCCTCTGACTCAGGTTCCAGTTCGAAAGAATTATGGTAATATCTCACTAAATACTTCTATTTACTCATATGTAAGAAACATACTAATAAAATAATAATTACAATAACTACTTACTGCAGGTCCAATTATGCCCAGATGGACACTGGGTTCCTTTCTGTGCCAGTCTGAAACAGAAGAGAATATCTTTTTTACTAATCACAATTATCCATTTTAAATATTAATATTTAGAAAGTACACAAAATAATCTTCTTCCTCTGAAATCAGTATAAATAGCTGCATGAATAAAGCAGATAGATAGCATTAGGCAAATATTGTAATATCACTTAAATGACTGAATACTCAGAATTCACATGATCAGCATATTTGAAAGTTAGTCTTTAGCATTTCTGCCTCATTCAGTCTCTTATGATTCAAGGGTTATTTAACTAAGCTCAGATATTAATTTTCAATCATCTTAAGAGAACAAGGCTTTATAGAATGCAGTGACTCTAGCCACCAAGCCAAAATGATTTGCATTTTTCCTTCTGTGTGAAGGAACATGAGGAAACAACTGCAACCATTACAATTAATACTTACATTATAATGTGTGCAAGAGAAATTTGCCATTCCTCAAATACCAGAACAGACACCTACCACAAAATCAGTTACTTGCTTTTAATAAACTACATTTATGATTAACCATCAACAGGTGGTGAAGGTGTACATAAAAAAATAAATGGCATAGCTGAAGCTAAATTTCCAACTTGGAATATCTGAACCTTCTACAGCCACAAGTTCAAAACCTGGCAAAACAGTCACCCACATAACTATGAGAAAAACAGCCTAGCTTACAGTACTGAGCTGTAAGGATGGGTAATATTTGCTTGCAACTTTAATGGTATACCTTAGCACACATGCAGACAATTGCACCAGCCACAGGGCAATATGATTAAAATCTTATTTTAAGGTAGGTGAACTCTTCTTTCGTCTTCCATTAATATTCTGTGCAGCAGCAAAATAGTTTTGCCAACAAGTAAAAGCACTGAATATTGCTTTGATTTTAGTGCTCTGTTATTCCCAGCAGGCAGGAAGACACAGTACAGAAATAACGTGTTGAACAGATCAATAGCTACATGAGCACTTCTTTTTTAAAATATAATATGAAGGTTTTTTGCAATGAATAAAATAGCTTATATCAAACTTATAAACACAAAAAGAAATGCATCTAAATGAAACGCATCCAGGGACAACATAAGGATATTCAAAGAGCAGGCACCTACCCGAAAATACATCTACTAAATACAGAGGATCTTTGATTCTTCGAAGTCCACATATCAGAAGAAAAATGTGTAAATTGTCCACACCTGTAGGAATGCCTGAAACAAAGTATTGTAAAAATCTGAATACAGATAGCAAAGTTAAACATCTTCAAAGCAATTATTTCATGAATGAGCACATACAGCAGGACTTAATGACAGTAGTTATAGGGTAGATTCTGAAAAGTTCTCAGTGGGAATTTGATTTCAGTAGGAAATAATTTCAGTAGTCAGTTAAATTAGATTCCATAAATTTCCACGAAATTCTGGGGAATTATTCAGAAGCTCAAAGTTCCTGGTCCTTAGGAAAGTGTATCTGGCAGACCCTGGTAGCCCTGCACAGTTGCAAGGAAATCAACTTCAGCGCTGCTATTATTAGCACAACCAGAAAAAAAATATGTAAAGCCAGTGCAGGCATAGAAGCAGATGCAAGGCCTGATAAGTTTGTGATTTGAATCAAAACTAATTCTAATTTAAAAAAGAAAAATCCAGTAACAAAACTCACAGCTTCTCAGTAGTTCTACTACCAACATTAAGTACAATCCATTTTCAAAGCACTTTCCCTGCATCAGGGGTCAGATCCAAAGCACAATAGGAATCATTACACCTCTTTGAAATATTAGTCTATTTTTACAGATGGAATGAATATAGACAGAGATTGAAGTCTTGTACTTAGAATAAATCTGTACCAGAAGTGGGATTAATATTGAGACTTTCTTGCTCTCACACCAACCCTCAAATCAATTCAGTGGATAACTTAATCCTACATACCATTTTACAAGACACAGGAATTTATTTTCAGAGGCAGTGAATGTGCAGGCTTTGGGAAAAAAAAGTTGGTAGCCAGTGCTCTTGGATACCAGAACCCAGCTTTGACTGAGTGGGCAACTATACAAATCAAACTATACAAAAAGAATAAATATGCATCTACATAACAACTCTACACCTGTTTTAAGGATATTGCCAGGCTCAGTTGATCACTGTCTGTAGAGATAAGAGCTCTTGATCTGAAACACATTTTGTTGTATAAGATCAGGTCAGTGTTCAACAGCTGTCTATCCCCGATATGCCATCACTGCTACAGAGTAGCTAACTAGAAATTAAATTATTGCAAAGCATTTATTTTAACTCTGTGGGGAAGAAATACAAACATAAAATAATTTGGGAAAAATCTGAACATGTGTTTTTTTTAATACTGAAAATCTCTTAAATAAATCTGCAAATACAGAGCAAAAACACATTTAAAAGTTTGTTTTGTAGTCTATATTAAAAAAAAGAAAAGACTATCTGATGTATGACATTTACAGATGCCATTGGCTCTGTGACAACCCAATTAATTCAGAACATAATTCTGGAGAAGGGTCACTATGTGATGAACTTCGGTAAAGTGCGTTTATGATAAAATAATACACATTGCTGAATGAGCATACATTACACCACCATAATTTAATAAACACTCAAGGGGCTGAAATTTTTATGTTTGATTTACTGCACAAAACAAATCCATTTGCTATCCTTCACTTCACTCGTTTATTGAGCTCATGGCAAGGATAGATGACACATATCATCTAACATTAGGCAATTCAACACGGATTCTCAAACTGTTCTTCAGCAGCAGGTTGATTGTGGGACATGAAGGCATGTCGGACTGGGACAATGCTGCAAAGCTGCCAGGAGGGTGATGCTGCTGTAGGAGCTGCTGCATGATCAGAATGTCTATCTCTGATATTTATGATTAATAAAGGAAGGGTAACTGCGGTGGCACCATCACCACTTTCTGAGAACAATTGAGCTGCCTCCCATATCATCACCAAGTTGATGCAATTTATAATCTAAGATCAGACAAACTTGCTACCAACCTACTTTACTTCACCATACTGTATACAGCAGTGCTAACTTAACTGAAGGGTCTATTTCAGGCCCTAGAAGAAATATGCCAGGAATATCCTTATACCCCTCCTCATGTCAAGGAACTGGATTAATATGAGCTCTGCATCAAATCTCTGTTGCAGGGGCAGGGGAAATCAGAAGAG